GTCACACACACCCCCCATCTCTTGACTTCCCTCCTGCCAAGCAGTCCTCAGAGCTTTTCCAACAGCTTCCCCCAAACCAGCAGCCTCCCCCAAACCAGCAAGGTGCAGGAGGAAGTGGCGACCACACAGTCCAGTCAGGAAGGGCGCTAGATTCCAACAGTCTAGGCCAATGGTTCTCAATCTTCCTAATTCTGTGACCATTTAATACGGTTCCCAATGTTGTGGTGACCGCAGCCATAAAATTATCTTCATTGCTACTTCCTTCATAACTGTAATTTTGCTACTGTTATGAACTCTAATGTAAATATCTGTGTTTCCCGGTGGCCCCAAGGGGCTCAAGTGAGAACCACTGGTCTAGGCTCTCCAGGGTTCCTCCTCACAAGGCTGGAAGACTCTTATACTTCTAATCCCAGCACTCCCGAGGCTGGGGAGGCGGAAAGATTGCTCTGAGTTCAAGGCCAGTTGAGCTTCAGAGTGAGAAACTGTAGAAACAAACAAACAAACAAACAAACAAAACAGATGTAACGGTTTGTCTGTAATCACAGCACCAGAGAAGCTAAGGAGGCAGGAGGATTGCTAGGAGCTCCGAGGCAAACCAAAGCTACAAAGCTAGATCCCAGTTTAGGGAGAAAAAAAAATTCCAACCTGTAAAGCATTCAGAAGCAGAGAAACAAAAGAATCATCATGACTTCTGTGTTAGCCTGGGCTACATAATGAGTTCCAGCCAGGGCTACGCTGTAAAAGTAAGACCAGAGAGAGAGATGAAGGGAGGGAGGAAGAGGGAGGGAGGGAGGGAGGGAGGGAGAGAGAGACAGAGAGAGAGAGAGATTGATTGATTGATTGATTGATTGATTGATTGAAGGGCTAGTGAAATGGCTCTGTGGGAAAGGCACCTACTACCAAAAGTTTCATCCCGAGGACCCATGTGGTGGAAGGAGAGAATAAACTCTCAAAATTATTCTCTGACTTCCTTGCATATGAACACACACCCCTCCCCAGCACGTGCGCACACACACACACACACACAGAGAAGAGAGAGAGAGAGAAAGAGAGAGAGAGAAGAGAGAGAGAGAGAGAGAGAGAGAGAGAGAGAGAGAGAGAGAGGTGTAATCAAATGTAAAAAGAAAGAAATAAACTGAAACTTGGGGCTCAGCAGTTCTGGGAGCCCAGATTCCCTCAGGTTCTAAGCTGTGAAGGGCTGGATTTTTGCCAATCCAGTAGCCTTGGAGTCTGTGCCCTGACAGGTGTCCTTCCCCAGTCCTTCCCCCACCCCCAGCTCATCCTTGGCTCTCTCGCTGTCCCCCTTTTCCCTCGGGGCTCCCACAGACATGATGCAACCAGACTGGAGCGGGCTGAGAGGTGGGAGCGGGACGAGATGTAATTACAGCTGCTCCTGCCACCATTCGGCAGGAAGCTCAGAGTTGGGGCCCAGGGGACCCTAATCCGATGCAAATGTAGAGCACTTACCAGGCTCATGCAAGGCCTCCTGGGGAGGAAAGCCCAGTGAACCATTTCAGGAGACAGAAAGTCCGGTCCCCATCAGCAAAAAGAACAGACTCTGAAGTGGGGTGGTGTTTAAGGGAGCCTGAGGAGGGAATGGGTAGATTTGAATTCAGTGAATGTATAGATAACTAGATAAATCGCGTCTGATTTTCCCCTGGTTTTGTTTGTTTGTTTGTTCGTTTGAGATGGTGTCCCTCCCTGGAACCTAGGGTTTATGGATTTAGCTGGACTGCCTGACCAGCGAGTGTCAGCAGCCCCTGTTTCTGCCTCCTCAGTAGTGAGATTACAACTGACTTTCACCATTCTCAGCTTGTTACAAGGTTGCTAGGGATTGAACTGGGGCTCCTATGTTCATGTCACTGCACCAGCCCCCTCCCGGGTCTCAATGGAAACAACATTTCCTTTTCCATTCCACTGTAAGAAGTCACAAACATTCTCCTCAGGAGGGCTGAGGGAGGCATCTAAGACACAAGAAACAAAGGAAACTTTAAGGCCTAGGAAACTCAGAAAGTCTCAAAATCCATACGCGCCCGACACACACACAGGCACACACACACAGACACACACACACGCACGCACACGCGCATTGTGCACACAAGGACATGAAGAACCACCTTTGCATACCTGTATGCATACACAAACGTATAATACACAAACATGTACCTATGCACACATGATCATGCATACACACTCAACGCAGCCACAACACACACAACCCACGCACACACACACACAAAACCCGTGAACACACACGCGTACACACACATACCCCAGAGGAGAATGATTTATTTGTTTGGTGGTACATTCACTGAATCCAAAAACCCCCATTCGGTCCTCAGACTCCCGTAGCCCCTTTACAGATATAGAAGCAGTAAACAGCTGCTGGAGAAGAAGATGCTCTTCCATGGAGCGGGCTGGGAGCTCCAGGGATGCAGTTCTCCTGCATCATTAACTATCCACGGTGGGCTTTTTGGTGATGTGGCTGCCTTTGAGTCACCAATATTCCTGTAAGTGACCTCAGTAAACTAATTGGGTCCCCAAGCTAGATCCGGGTAGAATCATTTCTTTCGTCTGTCATTGATAAACAAATACTTGCTCATGTGTGCCTCCCAGGAAAAAGTTACACAACAGGGATGCAAAAGGGCATGGTGGGGACATTGCCCAGCTGGAAAGCCCAGAAGCCTTATAAAATCGAAGCGAAGCCCAGGCTTGTTGGCATATACCAGTAATCCCAGCATTCAGAGGACTAAAGCAAGAGGATAGTGGGTCTGAAGCTAGCCTGGCTGCATAGCCAAACCCTATGTTAAAAATAAATAAGTGAGGGCTGGAGAGATGGCTCGGGGTGAGCAGTCCTAAATCTAATCCCAACAGCCACACGGTGGCACACAATCATCTGTAATGGGATCCCATACCCTTTTCTGGAGTGTCTGAAGACAGCGACAGTGTATTCATATACATAAATACATCTTTTTAAAAGTTGCCTCTAAAAATAAATAAATAAATATGAAATAAAATTTATCCTCAGGGAAGCCGGAAGTAAGGACTTTGATGAGAAGTCCTTTCTGCGTCACAACCAAATTAAGAACGTTTAAGCATCATCTAGGCCAAAATAGCTTCCAAACCACAATTGCAAGCTACACATACACTGCTCTAGAGTGTGTACTGGGAAATAGAACAGGGGTCCTCACAGCTAAGAAAAAAATGGCTGAATTGCAGCCCATAGGACCCCAAATTGAATTAGAGCCCACAGGACCCCAAATTAAGATAGCAGCAGGAGGGGTACAGAGGGAGCTCTGGAATGATTGACTCCTTCATTTGTTTCTTCCTGGGACATCTAATAACAGGACTTTCTCCTTTGTGTTTTTGTTTGTTTGGGGATTTTGTTTTGTTTGTTTTTGCCTTTGTTGTTGTTTGGTTTTTTGAAACAAGGTTTTCCTCTCTGTATAGCCCTGGATGTCCTGGAACTCACTCAGTAGACCAGGCTGACCTTGAACTCGCCCCTGCCTCCTAAAAGTTTGAATTAAAGTCAGGAGCATTGCCTCTCTCTCTCTCTCTCTCTCTCTCTCTCTCTCTCTCTCTCTCTCTCTTTCCCTCCCTCTCTCCCTCTCCTTCTCCCTCCCCCTCTCCCTCTCTCTTTCCCTCTCCCTCTGAACTCTCTCACCTCATCTCTGCCTGGTGGAGGCAGCATCTAGATCCCCAGAATCAAGGCTGTCTCTGCCACAGTCATATCCCCAGCATTGTCCAAGTCAGGACTGTTCCAGGGATGTTTCGGAAGAGTGAATGGGTGGATGGATTAAGAACAAGGTCGGTGTTTGAAGACAGATGTTACAGAGGACCAGGCCTGGTGCCACAGGCCTGCAACCCTGGCTACTCAGTGAAACCTGGTCTCTAAACACTAAGTTAAGAGTGGAGCCAGATGTGGTGGCTCCAGCACTCAGGAGGCAGAGGGAGGCAGAGCTCTGAGTCTGAGGTCTGCCTGGTTTATAGAGCAAGTTTTATAGATAGCCACGGTTACACAGAGAAACCCTGTCTTGAAAAAAAAACAAAAAGAAAAAAATTTAAAAAGAAACGAAAAAGTAAAATGTACAGTAAAATGACGACTGGTGAAATGGTTTAATAGGAAGCATCTGCCTAGAATCCCTCAGTGAGGGGCTGGGGGTGTGGCTCAGTGGTAGAGCCCCGCCTAGAATCCCCCAGTGAGGGGCTGGGGGTGTGGCTCAGTGGTAGAGCCCCCGCCTAGAATCCCCCAGTGAGGGGCTGGGGGTGTGGCTCAGTGGTAGAGCCCCGCCTAGAATCCCCCAGTGAGGGGCTGGGGGCGTGGCTCAGTGGTAGAGCCCCTGCCTAGAATCCCCCAGTGAGGGACTGGGGGCGTGGCTCAGTAGTAAATTGCTTGTTTACCCTGGGTTCTAATCCCCAGTACCTAAAAAGGGCTATGGGGAAGGCAAGCATGTTGAGGTATTCCTTTCATCCCAGCACTCAGGAAGCAGAGGCAAACAGATTTCTGTGAGTTTGAGGCCAGCCTGAATTACAAAGCAAGTTCCAAGACAGCCAGGGCTAGGAAATGAGAGCCTGTCAAGGAGGGACTTGAGGGCTTCGTGTTGGTGTGTTTCTGGAGAATTTGTTCAGTAGTTAAGAATACATACTGTTCTTCCAGAGGACCAGAGTTCGGTTCCTAGCACCCACATTAACAGCTGAGAACCCCTCTAACAATAGCTCTAGGGGGATTTGACACCCTCTCCTCTGGCCACTCTGGACACCTGCACTCATGTGCATATACCCACACACAAACATACATATTCATAATTTAAAGTAAACTGAATCAGGGCTGGAGAGATGGCTTAGAGGTTAAGAGCATCTGCTGCTCTTCCAGAGGACCCTGGTTCAATTCCCAGCAACCATGTGACAGCTCACAGCTGTCTGTAACTCCAGTTATCCGGGGGATCTGACACCCTCACACAGACATACCTGGAAGCAAAACACCAATACACATAAAAAAATAAAAAGAAATCATCAAAAAATTTTGTTTTCAAAATAAGCCAGAGGTATGGGCAACACGGTGTGAAACCTGGATGGCTTCTTCAGGGGATGAGCAGGGAGGCGCTTACATCACGCCCAGGAGGGAATGGAAGACGTGAGTCTCCAGGGAGCTTGAAATTGGTGCCTCAGTCAGGACCTCTCAGCTGTGTAACTGAGAAGGGGACCTTCAGTTCCAACAGCAGTGAAATGGCTATCATGTAGGTGTTCTTAAGCTGATGGGAAAATGAAAACAATAAGCAGGTGACATTACGTACTCATCTCGTGCGGGGCTGCACACATCCACACAGCTCTCCACATACTCTCAGAAAGAAAGAGAAGAGACGGATGCAGCCTCCCCGCCCCCAAATGGACCCCACGTTCTGCCCGTGTCTCGTTTTCCCCTAAAGTGCAGGCACCACCAAGTCACCAAGTTTATTGGATTCATACTTCTGCGGGGGAGGATAGAGCTATCTTGAGGGCTCAGAGCAGAGTGCAAAACAGTCGCTTGTCGCGGAAAGGATTCTCGGCGGCGGGGACAGGAGTCACCAATGGGTCATCCTTAGCGTGCGTCTCGCAGAAAGCCAAAAGCTCGGCGGCTGCCTGCGACACCTGCAGGCGAGAGATAGAGCTACAGTTGACCCGCCCAGGCTTGGTCCCTGGCGAGCGTCCAAATCCCCGCCCCGTGTCCTGGCCACGCCCCTACTGGTCACGCCCCCGACCCGAGCCCCACCTTCCCATCCCGCCTCAGCTCCAGGCTCGGCCCTCAACGGAGCCTAAAGCAGACCCTCAACCTGTTTCCCCATCGGTCTGTGCACCTTCATGCGATCGATGTTCACCTCCAGCTTCAGCTGCTCCACCGTCTTGCGGGCCTCAGCGATCTTGGCCATGTTGTTGGACATGGCTGCAGCAGGAAAGGGGTTAAACGCCTGGCAGGAGTGTGGACTGGCGGCTGGATCACTCTGGATCCCCCCGGGGAGTAGTGAGAAGGGGTGGTGTGACCCAGAGACAGAAGAAGTGGTTGGGACTATGAGTGAATGGGATCCCAGAGACAGGTAGAGGAAAAGCGTGACGACTCAAGAAGACAGGAGGATGGAGGGGTGCCCTGATGGAGGTATGCAAGAGGCAGCTGGAGGAAGAGCAGAGGGCCTGGGGAAGGAAGGAGGGACGGATGCACAGGATGGGAGGCTGAGAGGCAGGCGGAGGGGGGAGGGCCAGAAGGACAGGGCCACAGGTGCTTGATCAGAATCTACTGATCCAGGTGCCCTGACCCCCTGGGGGATAGAGCCTGAGCCAAGAAGGGGGGCCCTTCCCCAGGCCAATTAGCAGCGACTCCAGGGAGAGCTGAGAATTAAGATCTCCGCGGGAGGGGCACAGAGGAGGCCTCATTAGGGCCTCAGCAGCAGCTGCCCCCTCTGCCACCCTCAGGGACTCACCCCCTCCCCAGCCCTGGCTGCCTCAAAGGCTCCTCTGCTCATTAGCAGGCAGGGGAGAGGGTTGGGGCAAGGCAACCCAGCCAGCCATGCGGAGGGGCAGAGGGTGACAAGTGAAAAAGCCAAGGGAGGGACAGATAGAAATGACAGGCATAAAGAAGGAAAATAGTCTGAGGATGGAGATAGAGATACTGGGGAGAGATGATTAGGAAGAGGACAGGGGGAGGGGAACAAAAAGGGAGGAGTAGAGGGAGCTACAGACGGAGCAGGAACGGAGGAGACAGGGAGACCGACCTGGGAGGGGAGAGACCTGGACAGAGGGGGACATGGCAGGGTTAGAAAGGAAACGGAGCAAGGAAAGAGGAGAGAGATTGGGAGGCACAAACAGAAGGAGAGGACAGAGGGGAAGATGGAGGCACACGGAAGTATAAAGTCATTGATTCTCTCATTCACCCATGCACTCATTCAATCCCACATGGACAGATAGTGGCCATCTCCGCAGCTACTGGGACCCGGACAGGAGCCTCCTGCCTACCTGTTGCAGCTCAGGGCTGGGATGGCTGGCGGGTGACAGAGGCTGACAGAGGCAGAGGCTGGTCCCCTTCCCAGCCCCGCCCCCTCCCCTGGGGTGCAGCCCTTCAGGACCGCCTTCTCCTCCTAGGCACCACCTGTCTCCATGCCCTGGGTCTGTCTGAGTCCTCTCCTTGCAATAAAGTATCTTCTCATCATCGTTGTCTTCCTCCTCCTCCTCCTTTCTCTCTGTCTCTCTCTCTGTCTCTGTCTCTCTCTCTCTCTCTCTCTCTCTCTGTCTCTCTCTCTGTCTCTGTTCTTCAGTCATCCCTGTTTCCAGCATGTCTTTCTTTGGAGTCTCTGTCACACTTGCACTAAAAGATGGGCCCTGCAGGTGTGTATATGCTCGCACTCGCACACAGCCTCTCCTCTTCTCATGGGGCCTCTCATTCCTTCCCAGGCCTTCAAACTAGCAGCCTCAGCCCATCACAGTGACCCTCTCACAGCACACAGACACACTCAAAAGTCACTCACATAGGGGTGCACCCTACTTTGCTGGGTCATTGAGTAATGCCCCCCCCCCGTGCTTAACCCAACACACAATGACAAAGGTCTCAATATACCTGCCCACTGCTGTCACTCATGATTTCTCACTGCAGAGCTGGCATCACTGCACAGTCAGGCACCTATCTTAGAGAGTCAAATGTATACATTGTTACCTACAAGTGCAGTTTCAGCTTCTCCTGAAGTTCTCACTCACACTGTCCCCCGGTCTCACACATCTACACACTGACTCAGCCTCTCTGCCAAGGGCTCCATTGCCTAGTGTGACACGGAACCAGGTGGCTTTCTTTCCAGGGGTGCCTTTGTGCGGTCACATTTACTCCTGGTCAATTTCCTGATACACAGTGGCTCATGTTCTGCCTCCCCCTACAGTGACCTATGTCATTGCTGTCATAGTGGCACAGTCTTTTGGTGTCATACATTGTTGACATTCGATAGCATGGTGTTTTACACACACACACACACACACACACACCGTTGTGGACATAGCCTTTGTTGGGCCTCACAGTCTGTACCACAAACGCTTGTCATGCTCACATACCGTCTCTCTCTTTCACATTCAGCATTCTGTCTCGAAGACCCTGTACCCTCACCTCTGCCACCCGGAACAATCACACACCTTTGCACTGGCAGTGACAAACGCAAGTCAATCTCTCAGCGTCACATGTGGTCACCCAGTTTCTCAGGACTCACCAGTGTGGCAGACACACTGTCTCACACCCACACAGTTGGCCACACTGGGTCCCTCGCCCCAACCTCCCTCTTGCATTACTGACTAATTCCATCACTTGGGTACCCCAGCTTCCTCTGACTCACTCTGCTCCTGAAACACGTGTGGCCTCCCTTACATATGGTCAGACTTATTTACGAACACTCTTCGGAGGATCTGAGTTCCTCCCTCAGATCCGATGCCATACACAGTGGCCCACAGTCTCACGGATAAACTCAAAGTGTCACATGGTCAGACACACATCACACCTACTCTGACAGTCCCACGCAATCCCTTCTCGTCATTCCTAATCTCACCTTGTCACACAGTCCCACGTCATCTCCTGGCGTCCCACACCACCTCTGAGGCGTGCCCTCACATTGGCGTGGGTCGTATCACCTCTGGATGTCGCGTGCGACACCACAACATCGCAGGTTTGGGCGCTCACCCTCGCCGCCATCAAGGCCTCCATGATGGCCACGTGGGGGCGCCCGTGAGCCGAAGTCGCTGGAGGAGCGCAAGCAGAAGCAGCGAAGACTAGGTGTCCTCATCCGCTCTGCAGAAGATAGAAACTGGAGATCTGAGGGACCCGAGAAAGATAAGAGAGGGAGATGGCTTCCTAGGAACGTGAAAGAAGTGAAGGATCAGAGTGAAGAGGACGGAAAATGGGACCGAGAACTTCAGAGAGAGGTGAGAAGTGCAGAGAGAAACAGGAGAACTAAGTTCGGAGAGAGACTCAGGATAGATGGGATGTACCCAAGGAAAGGTCACAGGAGACAGATACACAGATTGAGACTTGGAGACAGACTCTCAGAGACCGGGTCAAGCCGGCCAAAAGACAAGAGAGACAGAGGGCGCCTTCCCCGCAGGACCACACGGCGGCGGCTGTGCCTATAGGGAGAGAGCGTGCTGTGGGTGTAGTCAAGGGCGAGGCTTTGTGGGGTGTGTTGGATGGGGCGTGGCCTGTAGGGATGTGCAGGCGGAGTCTGACGTTCCTTTTCATTCTGGGCTCTGGGATGCTGGAATCCTGGGAAGAGGTAGAGTAAGGAGAGGCGTTTCTTTTGCAGACAGCTCAACCCTAATTCGGTTTTCAGAGCCTGGCCTGGGAAGCCAAACTAGTGAGGAAAAGATACTAGCTTTTGATAATTCCCACCTGCCAGTACTGGGGATAAGATCCAAAGCCTCACATGTGCTAAGCAAGCTTTCTACCACTGAGCTGCATCCCACGGCCCTCTTTTTACTTTCATTTTGAGACAGTCTTCTATAGTTGCGCCAGACTGGTCTTGAACTTTCTCTGTGGCCAAGGCAGGCTTTGAACTTGCGACCCTCCTGCATCAGCCATTCCAAGGGAGCTGGGATGAAAAGCCAGAGCCACCCTGATAGCTTTTTGGAGTTGGGAGTATGGAACTCTGGCTCCCTGCCCCCTCCCTCGTGGGCTCACAGGGCCAGGTTGGAAGGAGAACACGGCCCACATCTGGAAAGGATCAGGCGCGCCGGACGTGCCAGGGCCCGGGGCCGGGGCTGCGGGAGGGGGAGGGGAGCCAAAGATCAGTGTCTGCCGGCGCCTAGGAGGGGCCTGGGCGCGCGCCGAGCTCGGCGCCTCCCGCAGCTGGTTTTCATCCCCGGATCTGGCCTAGGCCGCCACTGGGGAGGAAACCCAGCTTATTTAAAGCTGGAAAGACGGGGTGACGACCCCGTCTCGCGACCAAAGGCTAGAGAAAGGAGGATGGAGGACAGACAGACACGGCCTGGATAACCTCCAGCTCCCTCCTAATCTGCAGACCTCAGCCGCCTCTTTATTATTTAAATATATATTTACGTTTAACTTCTTTATTTATTGTGCGTATGGGCGGTGTGTGTGCCTGTGCCAGAGCCTTGGTGTGGAACTCGGAGACCACCTTGTGAGCCTCGGTTCTCACCTCCTATCATGTGGGTGTCAGGGTGGAACTTGGGCCAGAGGCTTAGTGGCAAAGGCAATCTTCCAGCTGAGCCATCTCGAAGTTCTTCTTAATCATTAAGCATCTTAAAGCAAGTCCAGAATCCAGTTTCTTCCCACAAACTCAGTCCAGCCTCGCTATTTTCCTGGCTTCCTCATATGGCTTCTGCCTTTTGTCTCTGACCCCGCCAACATGTTCCTTGTCGAGAAGTTGCCAGGCTTTTGTCCAAAACCAAGTCCAAGGGTACCTGTAATCTGGGCACTGGGGATAATGAGCCTGGAGGACCAGAAATTCTGGGATAGCCTGTACTACACGGAGAGTTCCATCTCAACTGGTGCTGTACAGTGAAACAGCCTAAAAAGGGGAGTGGGGAGAGGAGTGGGGGTATATTTTAGTTGGTAAAGGGATTCCCATTTACAGGTACCACATACCAGTAATTCCGGGATTCAGCTTGGGGCCAGCCTTGGCTACATACCATTTTTTTCATCTTTTAAAGATTTATTTTATGTGTATGAGTGTTTTGCTTCTATGTATGTATTATGTATGTGTATCATACAGGTACCTATGAATGGTTATGAACCACCATGTGGGTGCTGGGAACCAAACCCAGGACCTCTGCAAGAACAGAGAGTATTCTCAACCATGGAGGCATTTCTCCTGCCCCCAAAGCTTAATTTTTATTATTTAAAAGATGGTTTTTTATTTTATGAGTGTTTTGCTTGCATTGCATGTCTGACTGTGCACCACTTGTGTGCCTGGTGACCGTAGAGGTCAGAAGAGGGTGCCGGGTCTCCTGTAAGCGGAGCTGCAGACGGTTGTGAGCCACCATCTAGGTGCTGGAAATCAAATCCAGACCCTCTGCAAGAACAGATACTCTTAAGTGCTTAGCCATATTCACAGCAACCACAGCGAGCTTAAGAGGGTCAGAACAAGAAAAGGTGTCATGGGGCTGCTGAGGCCCAGTTCCCAGCAACCACAGCGAGCTTAAGAGGGTCAGAACAAGAAAAGGTGCCATGGGGCTGCTGAGGCCCAGTTCCCTAGGCCTGCAACTCGTCATGTAGTCTAGCCTGGTCAAATTTAAAACAATTCTGCTTGTCTTTTGAGCGCTGGCACAACATGTACATTAATCATGCCTAACTGCTGTCCCCAAGTTTCCTCTCAACTTTTAAGTCACCTCCACCCCTGCCCAAAGATCTCTTCCTGGAACCAAGGAAGAGATGAACACAGCAGACATGTTGAGAAAGGCAGCATTAAGGGTATGGCCGTTAGCCAGGTGTGGAATGGGCACACAGCTGCAATACCTCAAAAGGCTGAGGCAGGAGGATTGCCTGATCAAGGCCAGGCTGTCTATAGGATGAGTGGGACCCCGTTTCAAATACACATATATAAAGAGAGAGGTGGGGAAGATATGCTTAGGGGTACACACCTACAATCCCAGATTCCACCACAAGGAGATGGAGGCCAGGGGGATCAGGAGTTCAAGGCCATCCTCAGTTACACAGAGAGTTCAGAGCAGCTGGGATGGAGTAGAATAACCACTCCCATTTATCTGGAGAGGCTCTCAGTGGCGGTGGAGCCAAATTCCTTCCCCCTTCTGACCTCGGCTGCCTCTTGGGTAGAACAAATATCCCCCAGGGACTGACAAGGAAAAACTTTTGAGAATAACATCAAATCCACTCCCTGGTGCTGAGGATTAAACTCTCGGCTGGTGCCTTTGTTCTACTTCAGAGAGGCCCCTCCAGCTCCAGCCTCTAAACACCCATCTATCCATCCATTTTCTTAGTTACCCTTCTAGGAGTTTCATGTAGCTCAGGCTAACTTCAAGCTTACCAAGTAAAAGAGGATGTCCCTCAATGTCAGATCCCCTTGCCTCTACCTCCCAAGTGCTCAGATTACAGATGTGCAGGCCATCCATGCCTGGTTTCTGGGTGCTGAGCTGGAGCCTAGGCCTTCATTATGCTAGGTATATGCTCTACCCACTAAGCCACACCCCACCCCACCCCGTCATCTCCTCTGTCCCCATTACAGTGGGGCAGGGACTCTCTTTTTCTCCCTGCTGTGTCCTCCCCCTCTCCTCCCCAGCATGTGCTAGAGATGAACACAGATCTGGTTTCTTCTCTCAGTGTTGTAAGGGACATAACCAGACACATACACACACACCCCCACTCTTCCCATTGTGGAAGCAGGTAGAGGTTGGATCCAAACCCTGACTGTCCTAAGGCCTGGTGACCAAAGCTAAGAATGGCCTCTCCAGGTGTCTATTTACCCACCTATGAAATGGGCATAGTCTCTGGGATTAATCAATAGCCAAAAAATGTGGAAAGGCTACAAAGAGGCAATTCACATTAAGAGGAAACACAAGGACTAAACCCCACACAGAAGGCTGTGCCTAGGCAGAGAAATAGGGACTAGAGAGATGGCTTAGTGGTTAAGAGCACTGGCTGCTCTTCCAAAGGGCCATAGTTCAATTCCAGGAGATGACTTCTTCCCTCTGTAGGCAATAGGCATACATGCAGGCAAAATACCTGTACACATAAGAATAGAAAGTAAAGGGGGCTGGTGAGATGGCTCAGCGGTTAAGAGTATTGACTGCTCTTATGGAGGTCATGAGTTCAAATCCCAGCAACCACATGGTGGCTCACCACGACCTGTAATGAGATCTGATGCTCTCTTCTGGTGTGTCTGAAGACAGCTACAGTGTATTTACATATTATAATAATAGCAATAATAAAAAAAAAGGCTAGAGGAAGAAGGAAAGGGGGAAAGAACAGAAAGTGAAAATAAAAGCATATGGACAAACATGCTAATTAACACAGCCAGCATCCCCCTATCTCGTGCCATGAAGGTGACTGGAAGGTACATCGAGGCAGACCTGTGTTTCCAAATCCAGAGGCTGAGGCAGGAGGATCTCCAGCTTCAGGCCAATGTGGGCTACGTGTAAGTTCATGGCCAGCTCAGGCTGCTCCATCACCCTGTCTCAATCAAACAGGGTGGTTGTTACTGTTTATAAATGTTATTTTGAGACAGGGTTATGCAGCTCAGGCTGGCCTGGAACTCGCTATGTAGACCAGCCTGGAGATCTGCTCACCTCTGCCTCCCTGGCTTTTCCTACCATGCCAGGCATCTACATGATTCTAGGAGATCCACATTCAGGTCTTCATGCTTGCACATGACGTCTTCATAATTATTTCATGTGTGTGTGTGTGTGTGATGTGTGAGGTATGCACAAACAATGCTTCATGTGTGGAGGCCCGAGGACAATCTAGGGTGTCGGTCCTTGTCTTCCACCCCGCTGTAGTCTGTCGTTTACCACTTCAAATACCAGGGTGGCTGGCCTTTGAGCTTTCAGGGAGTCTCCTGTCTCTGCCTCCTTCCGCTCCATAGGCACACATATGAACACTAGTGAGTTGGGCTTTCCGAGGGATCTGAGGACCAGCACTTGAGTCCCCACCCCTGCACAGCTAGCGCTTGCTCCACTGAGCCATAGCACCAGCCCTGGTCTTGACTTGTCCTTCTCAGGAATACAAAACGTCGTCCAAATGTAACCAGAAGGTCAGAGTCACTGAAAACAATAAAAGTGGCCCTGGAGTGACAATCCACTACCTGGCTCTGCTCACTGCCGCTTCACAGCAAACTGAAGGCGCACCATACATACAGGTTGGAAGAAAAAAGGGACACAGCTCCCATTCAACGCAGAACAAGAATCCAGGGAATATGTAACAGTGTGCATTTATTTACAAAGAGGTTAGAGAAACACACAGGATCTGGCCCCCCACGCACTGGGGAGTCACCATTGTCATAATAAATACAGTAATTTTTTTTAATCAAAAAAACAAATTAAAAAAACCCACTGGATTGGAACAGCTGAGGGCCATTGAGCTTCCCCCACTCCTCGTGGGGGAGAGGCACGAGATTGAAACCATCTTCCTTCCTCTCTCTAACCTCCCAATCCTCCATGACTGTCCAGGGATGGAGCAGAAAGAGTCCTTTCCAGGTGTTGGCACTCCTACTTGACCCTCAAAGCCCCTAAGACAGTGCCACTTCCTCTTCCAGGGCACTCTGTAGGCATAACCTGAGTCAGATGGTCTCTGACTTGAGGGCCCCAGGGGATATCCTAAGGGTCCAGGGACATGGAGGGGGCACTTTGTGAATGAGAAGGGGGCCCTATCTGGGCGAGGAAAAGAGGAATGAGAAGGCTATGTGAGAGAGGTGGAGAGAGAACAGACTAAGCTTCTAAAATTAAAACGGGGGTGGGAGAGGGGAGACCCGAACGGAATTACTGCATTTGAATACATGGACACCCATTGTACAGATGGGGAGAGTGTGGCCCACAGAGGAGCGCCTTCTGGTTCAAGGCTTTGAAAACCAGCGGTACTGGAACAATCTGGGCGCCTCCCAGTGCGGGGGAGAGGGGCAGCCTCTCCGGGACGGCTATGAATGGCGGGCAGTGAGTGAGGAGGGTCTTTGGAAGCAGAGAAAACCGGTGGTCTTTGGAAGGTGGGTATGGAGGGAGTTGGAGGATGAGAAGTGTGGGGGTGCAGAGGCCATGGAGGTGAAATTCAAGCCCATCCCGCCCCAACTCACACAGTCGTCATGACCTTCAGAGAACCCGACCGGAAACGGAGGATCTTTTTCTTCAGCGCGTGCGATGCCTTGATCTTCACGAAGACCTTGGCGGGACCCGCGGGCGTCCCCCCACCCGCAGCACCCCCGGGCCCCGACGGGGAGGCCCCGGCGGCCGCCACCAGCTGCTGCGGCCACACGAGGCCTCCGCTGCCATCGGAGTCGCTGGAGGCAGAGCTGAAGGCGGGCGACTCGCCCTCGCTGGCGCTCGACTCGCTCTCGCCATAGCCTCCGGGTGCGCATCCAGACGGCATCCGACGGCCGAGCGGCACGGGCCGCCCCGCCGCTGAGCACTCGGAGTCGCTGCCTGCGCAACCGTACAGCAGCCGGCGCGGGGGCGCGGACGGCGAGGGTGCGGGGCCGCGCGGCGCGGGCACGCGGGCTCGGGCGCGGCGGCCATCCGGAGCGTCGATCTCAGCCGTGGAACGCCACCGACGGCAGGCCTGGACGGTCGGCGTGGGCGCTGGGCCACGACGGGGCCGGGGCGGTCGGGGCTCTTCTCGCTCGGCCGTGGGGTACTTGGGCGGCGGAGCGGCGTGCGCGCGGCCCAGTAGACTGGTCTCCGACTGTGAGCGCGCCGCTTTGCGCGCCCTTGGCGATCCCCGACGCCCCGACGGCTCTGCTAGGCGGCCCCGCCGGCCCGCAGCGCGAGGCCGCTCCCTTGGCGGGGACTGCTCCACGCTGCGACCTCGCGTGAGCGGCGGGGCCCGGCGGCGCGCGGCGCGGCCCGGGAGGCCCCTGGAGGCCGCGGGCGCGCCCGGGATGTACTGTGCCTTC